TTATGCGTTTTTGACACACTAAACTTGTCCATGTCGCTTTTAGAATCGTAAAATCGTGAGTGGAAGCAACCCTACTTACAAGTAAAAAGTATCATAATAGCATCCAATGATTCCACAGCAGTGTTCCGAGTCCGTTGCGTTTCTGCTACCTAATAACACACTAACCTGTTAGAATTTCTTTTTTGTGATCAAAGTACCCCTTCAACTGAGTCCCAACTCCACCCATGATGGCAGCGATAATCGGCAAGCTAAGCCAGCAAAATATAAGCAGAAGGAACCGTCTGTGTACATATATTTGAACGGAGAGAAAGCTGGAGCTCTCAAGACAACCGTCAGCGATTCGGGCAAAAGAAATGTTTCATTTACGAAAGGAAAGGAACACATCCACCGATCAGCAGCATTGAATGTGCAGTCGAACGTCGGTTGATGGTTTTATGACTGATTCCGAGATACATGCAACGCCACCAGGAAGCATCAGTGGCGGCAAGTTGGGCGGAACATTTTTCGAATTCCTTCGCTCGCTTCCCTCACCCTTCCCACTGTGTCGGAGGTGGCTGGACTTCCCGTTCCTTTCCCATTGATTATGCGTTTTCACCAAATGTCTAACAGTTCGGTTGGTCGGTTTTCGGATGCTAATTCAATCGAAAGCAGACAGGATCGAGAAGAAGTCATCTATTGGGTTCAAATGAATTTCACTCAGTAGTAATTATATTTGCACTTACGGATGGGAATGCAAGGGGCACGCCTGCCTTTGCGATTACGGTCGGATTTCTCGCGAATGTATCCCTTCCGGCAGTAACAATCCGATGGACAAGTGTAGCAGCTCAAAATGCTGTACGGTTTGTCGCAGGACAACTGTTCACACCCACCACAGCATTGGAACTCTTCATTATCCGGGCAGGTCTCTGGCGGTGATTGAATATAATGATTATGTTGAAGCAGAAGTACTCGTCATGCAAAAAATGAACTTACTAATTTCCACATTGGGCTTGTTCGGGCAAGTTTCGGTTTTGGATAGTGCCGATGATGATTGCAGCCAACACACTATAAATATTGCTCCAACTAGAGCGAATTTGGTAAAGATCATGCTTGAGCTGTCCGTTGTCACTGAGTTACTGATGAATGGTAACCAACCATATCGAGATACGGCTATTTATACTGTGCTGTGTGGATTTTTATGTTCAACCTCTGCTGGGCATTTACTGTGATGGATGATGCAAACAGCTGAGGCAACCGAAAACTAGTGTACAGCTTTGTTTTTGTTTACCAAAAATAAGGACATACAAATTCTGTTTGATCAAGATCTGTAGAATTTACAACATTATTTTGAAAATGATATAATGTGTACACTTTGTGAACAGTGGGTATTTCAAATGAGGGCCTCAGATAGTAATCAAGCCGACTTACCTTGGCATAGAGTATGATTGTGCTTGGCCATGACCACACAATCAGGGTGTTCTGTTCCTTGGTGCACATATTTTAAGCAGTGATAAAAGAACATAGGGTAGAGCGCTACTTCGTCGTAATCGCCCATTTCCGTTCTATCGATCAGAAAAGATCAATAAGCTATGGCAGATTATGCACGAGTACGGATTTCCGGATAAACTGACTCGATTGGTCAAGGCGACGATGGAACGAGTGCAGTGCGTTGTTCGGGTATCGGGGACACTCTCGAGTCCCTTTAATATCGCGTTAGAAGGTGTGATCAGATGAGCTGGGATAGACACGAGTGGCACGATCTTCAGGAAGTCCATCCAGCTTCTTGGCTTCGCCGCTGACATCTCGACCTCATGTCACGGAACTTTGAGACGATGGCGGAAACGTACATCAGACTGAAGGCTGAAGCTAGGCGGATTGGACTTGCCATCAACGCATCGAAGACGAAATACATGAAGAAGAAGATGTTCTAGGGAAGACAATGGGAAGACGAGTTCAGATTGACTCACTGGTGTCCGCCGAAAATGATACCAGCAGAGAAATTCAAAGACGCATTATGGCAGGGAATCGTGTCTACTTTGGACTCCGGAGGACGCTCCGGTCGAATAAAATTCGCCGCCGCACGAAGTTGACGATTTGCAAGACGCCGATTAGACCGGTGGTCCCTAACGACCCCATTACCTGGACTATTCTCGTGGTGTTTTCGAACGGAAGGTATTGCGTACCATCTACGGTGGATGGCAGATGGATGACGGAACGTGGAGGAAGCAAATGAACCACAAATTGCACCAGCTGCTGGGAGAACCATCCATCGTCCACATTGTAAAAATTGGGCGACTACGGTTGGCTGGCTACGTCGTAAGAATGCCGGACGACGACCCAGTGGAAATGGTTCTCGAAAGCGACCCAACAGGAACGAGAAGAAGAGGTGCGCAGTGGGCAAGGTGGATCGTCCAAGTGGAAGGCGACCTGCGGACCCTTCGCAGACTACGAGGCTGGCGAAGTGTGGCCATGGATCGAGTAGAGTGGAGACGACTTCTTCGGACAGTAGAGGACAACAAGGCCTTAGCTTGATTGGTAAGGTAAACCCTAAACCGCCCCAAATCGAAACATGTGTCTCAATCAAATGCTTAATTGACCACTTTGTCAAGCAGTTTTGGCGTGACTTTCTACCAGCGATTTCACAGAACTGGAACAACTAATTTCTATTTTTTATGAAACGCACAAATGTTGGCTACTTTTCTCGTGGTTCTAGAAGAAAAAATCACAAAATAATGTTTTATTTCAAAGTTCGAGTGGTAGTAAACGTCATTTTAACTGCTCGAATGAAGTGGTTAATTGAGTTATTATGGGAAAAATTGTCCGGGGTGCAACATTTGTTGCCTTTTCGATCACAAAGCAATTTTGTTTTTACATACGGCGATCAAAATTATATGCATCATCAAAAATAGTCACTGTTTTGATTGTAACTGCTTCAACAGCACATACCACCTTCCTGTTTCCACTGACTTATGTTGTTTACCGGCGATGGCAGGCATCAGTTTTGCGCTGGAATTTTGTCGCATGCGAATAATTCCCTGCAAAACACCCCCATTCCTTCGCTTCCTACCCCCATTCCCCTGACAAAAGCGATTAAAAAAACTACAAGGGACAGCCATATGGGGTTGTACGCAATGGTGACGTAGGACTACATGGTCTTAACTGCAGCAGGAGCTAGGAATTCGGAAGCGAGGTTATCGAGGTACTCTTTAGTATGACGCGCTTGACATAGATGGCCCGCAGCGACTCACGAAGATTCCGATCAATAGCGGTGCGGCTTCTTCCTCCTTCTATGGATGCTTCTCTGGGCTGTAGCTCGCTGCTTGCAGGCAGGCTTTCGTTGTGTACTGGAGAATATTACCACTCACCACGCGGTGATTAAATAAACACCGTTTGGAGGATCGGATGGAATTCAACTTTGAAATCTGTGTTAGGGAAATCGCTTTTCGCAGGCAATCGGTGATAATTTTAACTAGCCTAGCAACAGTTGCACATTCGTGCAATTTTCAATAGTGACATTTTGAAAAATGATAAAGTCTTAATTTTAACAGATGCGTAGAAAAAAATCCTATCGTATTTAGAATTAAAATCCATCATCTCTGGATCAACATCAAGCCACTTTCATGCCGCAACCGACTTTGGTTTTTGAAATTGCAATATTAGGCGTGAGCTGATATTAGGCGTAACAGCTTTTGTAAACAATGATTTCTCTCGATTTTTTTTTAGGAATTTGAGGCACGCTCACGCAAACGAAAATTACCGTCAGGTAGTCTTGCCCTACCTGATGGTGATGTTGATTTGCGTAGGCGAGCCTTGACTTTCATGACATCATGGAAAGAAGTCGTTGTTTAAAAAAGGTGTTACGCCCAAATTCCAGCTCTATCATGATATGGGAACTGACATCAGATTGATAAGCTTGACAAATGTCCAAAAAATACTCTTTTACAAATAAACTGTGGTCCTGAAAAGGAACGTTTTGTCGTGATGGTTGAGTAATTCTGAGCTATTAGGGTGTTAAACACAGATGAGGCTGGTGAGCTGTATGTTATTTGGAATGAGGGTGACTCGCTTGGCATAGATGACCCACAGCGACTCACAAAGAGCTACTGATTCCGATCAACAGTGGTGCGGCTTCTTCCTCCTTGTGGGCTGCAGCTCGCTGCTTGCAAGCAGCCTTTCGTTGTGTACTGGAGAACAATGTTCAACGCCATGTGCCTGAAGCACTGCTGCTGATGCCGACGACCGGACACAACCACACACGGTCATTGGACCTGAATTCGATCAGCGGTTGAGGCCAGCCTTGATAGCTAACTGCTTGCGGGGAGCATTTCGTTGTGTACTGGAGAACACCACCACTCACCACGCGGTGATTGAATAAACACCGTTTGGTGAGTCCGGATGGCATTCAACTTTGAAATCTGTGTTAGGGAAATCGCTCTTTGCATTCAAACGGTGATAATTTTAACTATCATAGCAACAGTGGCACATTCGTGCAATTTTCAACTGTGACATTTTGAAAAATGATAAAGTCTTAAATTTAACAGATGCGTACAAATATTTCTGATCGATTGTTGATAAAATTATTGAAATTGGTCCAGCGGCAGCTGAGTTGTTCACGTTCAAAATCTTTCATAATTTTGTTACTTGTTCCATTTTCGGTTTTAACAAAGTATACCCCCATATAGAGATCACAGACGTAGTCCTACGTCAAAAAAAAAAACGAACATGGGTTGCTGGCGAGTAAATATTGTACGTATGATTGTCCAGGCAGGGCGATGATGGGGCTTCTAAAACCTCTCAAAAACTGTCCACGTGGTTCGTTGGCAACCCCCATCAGTTTCCAGCTCGAGATTGACAGAGAGAAAGAGAGAAAGGAGCCCCAAAACCGCGCTAACCACGTTCGTAAAATAGCAACGTAAAACTGTGTTGAGTAGATCGCGTACGATCGCGCTTTCAGAAGAGCCTATAACCTGTTATGCTAATGTGTTGCTTTCGATTTTTTTTCCTCTCTCCTCGATTCACAGGACAATCAAAAGGACAACGTATGCCCAATCTGCCCAACGGAAACCTCGCTCATCTTGCCGAACGGAACGCGGAACACGCAAAAGTGCCCCGTAGTATTTGCCAAGGGTGGCAACAAGGACCACAAAAAGACCCTCTGCTGGAATGCCAATAACTGCCAGAACAGTAAGTTCCTCGTCGATAGTCCGAGTGAGATTTTCACAAAATTGCTTAACTATTTTCCATTCTTGCAGTCTGCCCGGAGAACTGTCCGAGCAAATCCTGTTCTACAACGGGGTCTTGCTGTAACGAAACTTGCCTTGGAGGATGCAGCGGCCCGGACGGGTCCGACTGTGCCGTGTGTCGGCACTTGAGCATTGACCCGGCGGGTGAGCGTCGATGCGTGACCAAGTGCCCCGAAGGTATGTACAAGTACCATACTCGCTGCGTGTCGTACGAGGAATGCTACAGCATGAAGAAACCGATAACCTTGGACTCGAATGCGGACCTACCGGACACACCATTCATTCCGCACAACGGTACCTGCACGATGGACTGCCCGTTGGGATACGAACAAATAAAGAACGAAACGAAGGTCGATAATAAGGCAGTAATACGCAGATGGTGCAAGAAGTGCGTTACCGGGAACTGTCCGAAGAAATGCGAAGGGTCCAGCATCGATAACACCCAGAGTGCGCAGTTGTTGAAGGGATGTGAGATCATTACCGGTTCGTTGGAGATTCAGCTACGCAGTCGCGGAGGAGGTAAGACCGATAGTCGTCGGTAGATGCGAACAACTTCCTTCTAAATATTCAACCTTTCTCTTCAATCTAGAAAACATCGTGAAGGAGCTGGAGAACTTTCTCAGTAGTATCACGGAGATCCACGGTTATCTGAAAATAGTCCGGTCGTACCCTCTGCTGTCGTTGAGGTTCCTCAAGAAGCTCCGAATCATCCACGGCCATGAGAAAGTTTCGAAGTAAGTCCCCTCATCAAATTCATCTCGCGATAGATTCACCGAAATGTTTTGTCTTTTTTTTTTGCTTCCCAGCTCTACTCTTTACGTGGTTGAGAATCAGAATCTACAAGAACTGTTTGACCACAACAACATCACTATCGGCGGGGATAAGATGTTCTTCTACAACAACCCAATGCTGTGCACGGACAAGATCAAGGCGCTGAAGACAACCAATCCGCACATCATGATTGAAAACGAAGACCAACTTGGAACGAACAACGGCGATCGAGCGGCTTGTTCAATAACGACCCTAAGTACAGAACTGAAACTGGTCTCCGTCGATACGGCACTGATTGCATGGGAACCGTTCACAATGCTGGCCGATGCCCGGCAGCTACTCGGCTATGTGTTCTACTACATCGAGGCACCGGATAGGAATGTGACGGTCTTCGACGGGAGGGATGCCTGCAATACCGAGGGCTGGCGGTTGGACGACATCAGCGACGATAAGGATACGCTGAAGTTCCTGACGCAGCTGAAACCGTTCACGCAGTACGCGTACTACGTCAAGACGTACACGCTGGCCTCGGAGGGCCTGGGCGGTGAGAGTGTTATCAAGTATTTCACCACGGCCCCAGGGACACCATCCGTCGTGCGGGAAGTGGTGGCCCTCGTCGTCAAGGATATGCTGGTAAGTGTACCGAACGGATCGGACTTTAAGAAATGTGCTCCTTCTTTATTCGATCGGCGGGAAGGTGGTACGCGAACAGTCCCACAGATGTCCTCTGAACTTTAATTGTTTAGGCTCATCTACCTGCTGATTTTCGGAAGTAGCTGTAGGCAGAGTTGACCCAATGACCTGGCAACATCGAAACGGTGTGGTGAATGTTGAAGAACCGCGCGCATTATTCCAGTACATATTGTCCATGAATGAGTGTAGTGCTGATAATCTAGTTTAGGCTAGGAGCTCCATCTTTATTGTGAGTATTTCCATCTCCTGTTTGTACCAGGGCTGCCGAGTTGATGAAAAATATTCCGGCTCCGACTGCGGGATAGTAAATTTATAGAAAATGTTTGATTATTTTCTGTCACCGCGTCAAACAGCAAAGCGGTTGGGCATTACTGTTTCCGATTTGGGTGAAACTGTGTCCATTTGTTAGCTACCACTTCGGGTTGCATTTACCATTCAAATATGATTATGTTTCTCAACAGTATTTTTTTAAACGGCGTATTTTAAAAGGGTTTTTTTTTCAAAAAATCATAACTTGAAAACGACTTATCTGATCAAAAGGACATCTGAGAAGAAGTAATCCAGGTAATCAAACTTTCTCAGAGAACTGGCATTCCGCCGGTGAAGTCCATCGAGATACATGGACACCGTCATCATCACTGCAACAACCAGTATCGCAAAATCGGTGTGGGGAGGGAGAACGTGAAGTAACCTCCCGGGAGCAAATGTCCAGTGAGCAGCAGGTAGGACCAGTCACGAGTGCCTTGCACCTTCTATCTCCTCCTGGAATCCGGTTGAAATTTCTAGACGAGCGCACAATTCATCATCTTTGTCATCGTCATCACTATCATCCACAAATGTGAATAGCCGTCCTGGCGGTTGCTTCTCCCTGCAATGGAACCTACGAGGACTACCGGCCAACATTAACGAGCTGAAACTCTTCATCGGCAACCATGAGCCATCTATTGTAGTAGCGCTTCAGGAGACGAAGGTGGACCAAAGTGTGTTACAAGCAGACTTCGTTGGAAGGAACTATACGATCCTCTTGGAATCGAACAGCGAACACTACTGGCAACACGGGGTAGGCCTTGCTATCCTGGAAGGTATACCTTTTGAGCGCGTGCAAATCGATACCACTTTACAGCTCGTAGCTGCACGGATCTACGCACCGATCCAAGTAACAGTAGTATCCATCTAAATTCCGGGTAGTTAGGTCTGACAGGTCCGGTTACGTTTCTGGGCACCATCTCGCTTGGGGGTCACAAAAATCAACCGCTCTCGGTACATTCATTGCTGAAAAAACTCTGGACCAACAACTAGTGATTCATAACAACGGCTCCCCTACTCGCATCGACTCGGCTACAGGTAACACTACGGCAATCGACCTGACGTTCTGCTCCGAGTATCTGACACGAAGGTTCACTTGGCGAACCATTTCGGACACATTCAACAGCGACCAATTACCGATAACGGTGTCCATTCCTTGGTGGTCGTTATATGAAAGCATCAGAGCTGAAAGTATTCGATCAGATGTCGAGTGGGTCGTCAACAGTTGCACCGAGATGTTCATCGACGCAGTTGGACCAAAAGCGGTACCATGGTGGTGCCCCGAAGCAAAGGCAGCAATTCGGCGGCGAAGAAAATGTCTGCGATCCCTGCGACGTCTACGACTTTCCGACTCAGACCAACACGAAGCATTGGCTAGATTCCTGGAAGCCAGAGCAGCGGCACGACAGGCTATCAACCAAGCGAAAACGCAATCGTGGGAAAAAGCGAAAATCTCAACGAATAGCACGACTACCGATTTGTGGAGAACGGTTAACGCTCTGCGAGGCAGTCTACAACAACGCACCGTAGTGCTCAAGTGAGCAGATGGATTCACGGACAAGCCCGAAGACGTACAGAGGAATTAGTGAAATGCTATAGTAGAAAGAGCAGCAAACTCTAGCAACCTCTAGAATCCATGGATCTCTCATCAAGCACCAACGATCTCTACAACATCGATATCACCCTTAACGAACTCATGTGGGCCCTTGACAAAAAGCGACAGACAGATCTCGACTTAATTGGGTATCCGTTACTCCAACGAAATCGACGCTTCTTGAGCTACTTAATAGAATCTGGGACGAGGGTGTGTTTCCCGTTAGTTTGCGGAATGCTGTCGTCGCCCCCATTCCAAAACCGCACTGCTATGACTCCGGAGCTGATGCCTTCCGTCCAGTCTCGCTCACCAGCTGCATGGAGAAGCTGTTCAAACGGACTTTCAATTGTCAATGGACCACCGAACTAGAGTCGAGTGGACGGCTTCACAAACATCAGCCCGCTTTTCGTACAGGCCGCGGCATTGATACATATTTTTCCGAGTTGGAAAGATCGCTGCCAACCCAAGATGAACAATGCCTGATAGCCTCTTTGGACCTGTCGAAGGCATACGATACCACCTGGCGACACGGAGTTTTGCGCACACTAAAATCATGGCGATTACGCTATTCCTCGTCGTGATGCAGCCTATCTTCCAGGTAATACCGAGAGTAGTCGACACTCGCTTGTACGCGGACAACGTCCTTCACGTCGTACGAGGGGCATAAAATGAAGGCCTGCACCGCAAACTGCAGGCCGCCGTCAAAGCTGTCGACAAGTGGACGAGTATCCATCCCGAAGACAAACCGGTTAAGAGTCCTGGGTATAACCCTCGACCGAACTCTGAGCTTCAAACCGCACTGTCAAATGATGAAGAAAACGGGCGAACCCCGGTTACGAATCTAGTAACCGCGAAATTGATGTACGGAGTTGGAGTAGTTCGGTGAGGAGGACCGGTAACCCTGCAGAATCTCACCCAAGCCAATAATAAAATAGTACGGTTTGCTTCCGGAACCTTCGTCACTAGCCCGATAGAATCAATCATAGCTGAAGCGGGCACCTTACCGTTCGAACTGCTAGCAGCACAATCCATTGCGCGAATTGCAATTCGGATACTAGCGAAGAATCGGAACAACAACAGCAGTGATGCAAAATATCATGACACTCACGTGACACTCGTCTTCGCACCAACCGACTATCGCTGACAGATCGTTTTGTCACGCAGTGGGAGTTAGAGCCATGGCAAACAATAATCACCAGTAATGGTCGCTGCTCACAAGCAAAACGCTACACTCGCTGCTGATGATGAAAAGCACAACGAAAACAGTGAAGACTTCTGCAGCACGATCATGAGAAAAAGCGAAACTACAGAAGAAAATGAAAACAATGCCTACGCATTCCAAGTTCGTCTCGGCAGGCGCAACTGTGTGAGTTACAAACAAAGCAGGCAACATGAAACGGAAGCTGTTGGGTTCACTCACCAACACACTCAAATAAGCAAGTAAAGCAGCAACTGCTTCAAAACGAGCACAGATGAGTGTCGTGATTGTCGGGAATGACCAGATCGCTGACGGATCACAACAGAAGACGACATTCACCAGTTGCTTTTTACTTCTTTCGTCAACTTGATGGATGGTCATGGAGAGAGCTTCGACGAGCACATTGATAGGAATGTACAAAGCGTTACTACCATCAGCTGTTTGGCGATCGTGATTGTGATAGGTCGCAACTCTGAACAACAGCCTCCCTCTTATTCGACGAGCATCGGATCGCCTCAATGGGCTGACAAACTCAGTGCCCCCCGCTGTCGGTCAACTTGTGCGGACGATCCTGTTGGACGTAAAAAAAATGCATACCGCCCGGTAGTGCAACAACTACTGTCGACCCGCTTCCACCGATCAACCGTCGTCTACACCGATGGATCCAAAAACGACTGCACTGTAGGTGCTGCATTCCATAATAATGGTTTAGCGGGAACGTACAGCCTCTCGAAGGAATGTAGCGTTTTCTCAGCGGAGGCGTTCGTCATTAAGATGGCTGTTTCCATTCAAAAAATATCGAACGAATTAATCATTCTTACGGACTCTGCAAGCTGTCTCCAGGCCTTAGAAGCGGGAACATCTAAGCACCCGTGGATTTAGGAAGTGGAGATACCTGGACACGCCGGCATCCACGAAAACAACGGAGCTGATCGGTTAGCAAACATGGCGAGAACAGAAACTCCCATCGATGTACCAATCCCAGGCGATGATGCGTTGAGAATGGTGATGCAAAGAATACGGCAACGATGGAACGACCAATGGTTCGCGTCCAGAGACTCCAAGCTGAGAGAGGTCAAAGACGACACGCACAAGTGGACGGAACGGGGAAGCACTTGCGACCAGCGTGGCTAACAATTGGTTACACGCAGCTAACCCATACGTTCTTATTGAAGAAGGAAGCCCCGCCCAGCTGTTGTGGAACGGTTTTAGATGTGACGCGACACGTGATTCTGCAGTGTAAAAAGTACGAGAGTCAACGACAAGAAAACACCATTGGCACAGCAAGCTTACGAGATGCGCTAAGAAGCTCTAAGGAGCAAACCTCGCAGTACCGATTGTGATTGCCTCTCACCCCAGCAGGCCTGGGTTCAATCCCATTCGGCGCCGCCGGGATGTTCTGAGGCATAACATCTCTGATCACGTCTTCCTTCGGAAGGGAAGTAAAGCCGTTGGACAACCCCGGTTCATGAGTTGATGGGTCGATAGGTAGGGTCCAGGTGTGGGAGCTGCCTCCCTGGCGTCGGTGGCATTGGTTCTCAGCACGGAAAACAAAATCGACGGAAAACAAATCAAGGAAAATAGGAGCAAACCACCGATTTGCTGAATTTTCTACGGCAAACTGGACTGTACCGAAAAATTTTAAGGATGCAGAGCAAAGAAGAAGGAGCAGCTGAAACCCGGTTAGTGGTAACAAGGTTAAGCAGATAACGGAGCAAGGAAGGAAGGAAGATTGTGAAGACGAAGGAGCAGCCAAAACCCGGTGTAGGTGCAAGAAGGTTAAGTAGATAACATAACGGAGCAAGGAAAGAAGGAAGAATGTGAAGAAGGAAAACATATAAC